TCTCTCCTGCTAATGTGCCCAACGTGCGTGAGACAAAATGTCCTCGTCCTTGCCTCTAAGGAGCATCTGGCGGTACTTCTTCCAAGACAGACTTGTTTGTCCTTTTGGACATCCATGGTACTTTCAACACACTTCACCAGCACCACGATTCAAATGCATCTTTGGGCTTCCTTATTCAGTATCCAACTTTCACATGCATATGAGGTGATTAAAAATACCATGGCTTGGCGAAGGCCCACCTTATTCCTCAAATAACATCCTTGCCTTTTGACACTTTAAAGGCCTTGTGTTGTAGATTTGCCTAATGCAATGTACCGTTTGATCTTTTTTTTTCTGTAAATCATCTTACTGGGCACTCGTGCAATTCTTATCACAATCCATACATGCATCCATTGTGTCAAGCATATTTGTACATTTGTTGCCATCATCGTTCTCAAAACATTTGCTTTCTACTTGAGCCCTGGTCTGTTATCTTTTTTTTTTTTAACCATTTTATTAGGGGTTGATACAACTCTTATCACAATCCATACATACATTAATTGTGTAAAGCACATTTGTACATTCATTGCCCTCATCATTCTCAAACCTTTTGATCTTTGGGTGGAAGCTTCCGTGAGCATTAATTGTGGATCCAAGCAAAGTAAAATATTTGAAAATTTCAATTTGTTCCTCAATTTGTCTTGCTACTTCCTATTGGTCCAGTTGTGAGACTCGGGGTTTTCTTTAAGTTGGAATCCAAAGCTAAGGCTGCAGTCCTTGATCTTCATCAGCAAGGGCATCACGCCCTCCTCCCTTTCAGCAAGCAAGGTCAGATCACCTGCATTCCGCGGGTGGTTAATAAGCCTTCCTCCAAACCTAATGCCATGTTCCTCTTTATATAATCCAGCTTTTAAAAATTATTTGCTCAGCATACAGATTGAATAAGTATGGTGAGAGGATGCAACCTAGGCACATACCTTTCTTGATTTTAAAATCATCCCTTGATTTTGTTCACACAACTGCTTCTTGATCCATGTATAGGTTCCCCATGAGCTCAACGAAGGGTTCTGGAATCCCTATACTTCTCAAGACAGCGATAGTTCATCCTGTCAGGGTAGGCTCCAACAATCCGTGTTTAAACATGACCGCCAGATAGTTCTGGTGCACAACCTAAGTTTGAGGACCATGCATCAGAGCCTTACCAGTCCGAACCAGATTGACGTCTAAGCAGTGCTAGCAACAGCTTGCCATCCCGGCAGCGTTGAGCCAATGATATGAGGGATTCTTAAAAAGAAAACGTTGGGTTACAATTTCTAATCCAAATTCCCAAGCCTATTAAGCCTTCCCGCTAAACTAAATTTAGTAGGACTCCGTGCGTGAACTTCTAAAGCTTATATTGCACAGTGGCAATATGGGCTGGAAGCTTAGGCATATCAGACGGCTGATAAGATGAATGTTTTTGCATTTAAGCATTAGTAATGAAATGCCCCTGAAACAATTTCCCCCTCTGTACAGGAAAAGTTAAGAATTAAAGTCTTGCCCCTCTCCTCTTGATTTTCACTAAATATACGTATCCATATATATTTATACACCCATACACACACACACATAGGTATGTGTATATGATTTTTGTTGGGCTTGTGTGGTGTATGTTGTTTTTTGTTCTTTTAATTCCAGAGAAGGCTCTGGCTCTTAAAAGCAGTCTCCTCATCTTATTTTCCACAACTTTGTCCTGGAAAATGCTGTCTGGGCGAAAGCCGTTCGCTGGAGTCTAGTCCAGAGTTTGGCGTCCAAGGCCAGGCAGATCCTTTGTTGTAAGCCGGCAGAGTGCCACCAAGAGATAATGCCGTCGGCGGGGCTCCCAAGGCACGGCCCTGCCTCCCCTCCTTCTGATCCAAGGCTGCAAACTCCACGCCCGCCACTCTGCTTTCAGCAAACACCTTCTTGTTTAATTGAACTCTGGCACACACACACCCCTAACATTAAATCCACATGTTTCTAATTCATTTACACTTCACTCATCAGCATGTGTTGGGTGAGCACCCTGGCACGTCCGAGTTTTATGAGCTGCGTTTATGAGGCTGCTTTTCTTGAACAGGGAGATCATATATTCTACCAAAAAGTGGAACTTGAGCCTGGGAAGCGAGGGCTTCAACGCTAAACTTGGAGTGAACTTGTGAAGTTTGAATGGATGCGGAAACTACGCCCAGATGTTACCCATTCTCCAAGAATAGCTCGCCTATTTACAGTGCAGAATTTCTCTGATCTCCTTACCTGAAGTGAGGGAGGGCCAATGTGCAATGGTAGGAAACGTGCCGGAGCCCAAGAAAACACAAACTAAACTCACTGCCGAGTCAATGCCCTATAGAACAGAGTAGAAATATCTCTATGGGTTTCAAGACTGTAACCCTTTGTGGGAGCAGAGAGTCTCATCTTTCTCCCATAGATCTGCTGGTGGTTTTGAACTACTGGTCTTTTAGGTAGCAGCCCGACTTGTAACCCTTATCCCACCAGGGCACCTTGTAGGAAGCCTAAAGAAGTGAAAATCCAAAACCCCTTTCCCCCAGGGACGCCGCCTTTCACGACACTTGTATTACTTAAGAAGCCATGGAAGATCTTTATGCCCCAGGGAGGTGATCAATAAGACTCTACCATAAATTAACAAAGAGGTGTCTAAAGGGAGCCAAAGGAAGATTTAAAAAAATACTAGATCCACGAATGGGTTTCAGGCTTGCACTACATCCTAGCTCCAATTTAAGAACAGTTAGTTCCAGTATCATGGCCCTGCTCGATACGCTCCCTCAGAAAGGGAACAAAGAGAAATACAGTGCTGTAGCAAAGGGTGGTGAAGACATTAGATGGTGCCCAACAAATGGATAAAGTAGTGTCTTGGATCTTACAGACTTGTTTCCAAACAGTGAGATGCCGGTGAAGTCCACATGGAAGAAGCACACCATCATCAGTGACCAAAGGATTACATATCATATAATCAAAGCTGAAAGAGGGAATACTATCAGAGCCCCAAATTGTGAGACTCTGGTTTGCAGAAAGCTATGGATGACAGTGGAAGCCCAAAATATATTTGTGAGATCTACGTAGATAATAACCCTCCAGTGATTTCCCTCCATCCATTCTAGAGGGAGCAGAAGAAACAGGTTAGCAAACAGTGCATTGTAGAGATGACTATAGATCAAAATGATCAACCTGACTTAAATGGTTAAAACCATGTCAGTTGGTGCCTGCTCTGATGCACATGGAGTCTGATCTGGTTTTCAACATTTTAGTAGTTTTGTTGTTGTTGTTGTTGTTGCTTTCATATTTGGGTTTATCTCAGATTCTTGAATTTTTGTTTACTGTGTTTCAGTATATGAAACCCAGGATTGCTGAGCCTATAGAGACAGCAAGTACAAAAGGGGTTTCTGAAAGGAGGGGAGTGTAAAAGGTTGCTGAGGTCAAGAGTTCCAGAAGGAAGAGAATGTTTTGAACCTGATTGTGATAGCAACTGTACAGTATTGCTTGATGTGATTGAACTGTAGAACCATATGATATCTTTACTAGCTCACAATAAAATGGGGTGCTTTTTTGGGGGGGTAGGGGGAGATACAATGAGTTGGATAGCCTCCGTGTTAGTCCGGGTTGATTAGAGAAACAAATCCAGGCATGTTCATATATGTATTGAGGGAGCGTTATATAAAAAAGCAATTGTATATTGAGAAAACATCCCAGCCCGGTCTAGATCAAGTGCATAAGTCCAATATTAGCCCATATGTCCGATACTAGTCCATAAATTCCTCTTTAAAAGACTCATGCAACACATTCAATGGTGCTGAATGCAGGAAGATCACAGGCCAGTGGTAGAAAGTCTTGTGGCAGTGGAAACAACGCAATACTGGCACGGGTCTCCATGTGTCTCCTGCAGCTCTCGGAGTCTCTCAACAGCAGAGAGACTGGGTCTAGCCTCTAATGAGCTATTTATCTCCACCGCACCTCCAAATGAGGTAATCAAGCTGCGACCTGATTAACAGGCTAGACTCCACCCCTTCATTCTAGTTGACAGGAGCTTATGTAACCGCCACAGTCTCTAATTTGACTTGGAAGGGAGAGAGCAAGGTCTTGCTAAATGAGATGAGAAAGCAAGTTGAGGAGACTACTTTTGACACCAAGGGTCACTTCCTTCCACTGGCCTGTTGCCTTTTTACCAGTGAAGTGATGATAATCTAGCTTTAGATCTTCCTCAAGACTGCTTCCGTCTTTGGGAATCATAGATTCCCAAGGTCACCTCTTACCTCTCTTGGGCATCTAGCGCTAATCAACCCGGTCTCTTGACTTCCCAGATGGAGCTGCGGTACGTAGACCCGTCTGTCTCGTCTGAATGGTGTGATCCCTGAGGCTCCATGTTATTTCCTATAAACTCTTCTCTGTGCCTTTGGAAAAGAAATAGTTCATTGCTGTAGCAGTGAGGCAGCCACGTAGGGGGAACTGAGCTATATTGTGTTGTGTAGGGAAAAGGCAGTGTTATCCAATCCTGTCATCAGAGTTTCAGACCAAGTCAAGACCCCAGAACCCGTTGGCCATGGCTGAGCATAGCACTAGTCTGCTTTTAAAAACACAACAGGTTTGTTGTCTTGTGGTGGTGGCGGCTGTTAAATCAGTGTGTATCAGCCCACCTGTCTTCCTTGGACAAGGAAACATACCTTGCTTGAAAGTGTCTTCACTCTTCCTATTGGAGGCTTCTGCTATCTGGAAATAGATAACGGGGGTGGTTGAACACCATAATGAGCCGAACAAGGACACTGAATTGTACAGGCTCAAAAGCAAAAGTTGACATGCCAAATGCTTCCTTCCCCATAGAATGTGCGCACAGTACAAGAAGGACACGGTGAGCGGAACATGATTAGTTCGTTCTATGTAATATGAACTTGGTCTCATGAAAACTGATAGAAGAGTCCACAGATGGATTCAGTAGCTGAGCGTCGACCTCTTATCTAACTCGCCTTTTGCTTGTTTGCTCATTTTTCTAGGAAAGGGCAATCGGAAGTGTGAGTTGAACTGCCAGGCAATGGGTTACCGCTTCTACGTGCGTCAAGCTGAGAAGGTCATTGACGGCACTCCCTGTGACCTGAACGGCTCGGCCATCTGTGTGTCTGGGCAGTGCAAGGTAAGTGCCTCTGGACCCGGCTGGGTGTCTGGAGGCAGTTCTTCTGTGCTCGATCTGTGACTACTGACCGCTGTGTTTGCCCAGGGGTGGGCTGCTGCCTCCCTCCACCCCCCATGGGGACCTCTGGAGGACATGGTCTAAGGTGGTGATGTGAGCAGACCCGATTGTTGTTTTGGTGTTTGATTTTAATCTCCGGAAGCAGCCATATTCCCCTTGGCATTTCAGATACTGCGTGGTTTATGGGGACACCATATGTTTCCAAAGACAGACAGTGATGTTTCCCCATTCCATCTGGAGTTGCTTGTTGACCTCTGAGCGGGAGGTTTTGGAAAGGGCATTGCCGCCTCAGCCAGAGATGAATGTTGTTGTGAGGGTGCCATCGAAGAGGATGGCCCAGTGTATCTTGCTTCCCACCAGATGGGGCAGGCTTCCAACCAAAAGCTGTGTATTGCCTTTTATAGCAGAAGTTATGCTTTCAACAGGAAGAGCCTTCAACCTCCTTGGGCGTCTGAATTCTGTTCCAGAAACTCCCACCCTGCAGTCTGCAAACAGACTGGACTTGAGAGATCCTTGTGGGATGCTAAACATGGTCAGAGAGGACCGTTGGGTTACAAACAGGCCTGTCCTGTGAGATGGCGCATGCTCCACAGTCTCAGGAAACTGTAGGCCTGGACTCGGTCAGTCTAAGCGTGCAGCTAAGACTTTTGCAGGCAAATGAGTCTTCCGGGCCCAGGCTAAGATGCTATCTTCCTGAGTACTTAAAAGAGCGCAGGACCGATTCTCATCAAAGAAGAGCTCTTTGACGATAACAATCTGCAAGTTCCTGTTCTACTTTGACTGTACATGGCACAGGGCTTAGGTTTAAGGCTATTGAAGTGTGATTTATAAGCGCCTCCCCTGCTTGGTTTTTTATTGAGGAGGTTTTAAATAGGATAGACAATAACTTAGGACAGCAGGGTGCATATGCTCAGAGTTTGGATCCAAGTTAAGAAAGGAGAAAGCTGTCCTTGGGTAGCTGAACGGTGTGATGTCTTTTGAAAGAGAACAGCCCAAGGAGAAGTAGGACGCCTCAGAGAAGATGCTGCGGGTGGGGTGGGAAATGCATGGGTGCCGCAGGCCTCTTCTGGCCTCCAAGGCTCCAGCTCTCGGAGGGGGGTGGGTGGGCAGTGGGCTGCCCACTCCCTGCCTCTGAGCCTCAGTGTTCTCAGTAGTACCGTTGCCGAGCAGAAGGGTGTAGAACTGCCTGTCAATGTTTCCGCCAAAGCAGAGACCAGGGTGGTCTGATAAACTCAAGGTTATTGTGCAAACTTGAGATGGAAGGAAACAGTGGGGCTTGCTACCTCCAAACTGTTTCAAAAATCCAATGAAAAGCAAGCAAGTCAGATACCCCAAACTATGTGATAAAGAGCAACACTTTCCATGATGACAAGAAGCACTCCCTCAAACAATGTGGCACAAAGCAGGCTTTGCAGGAAGCAATGATCTATACCTATATTTCTCGGGGAGTTAGGAGACCGCCATCCCCTTGCTCCATTGCTTATCTAAATGGAGGATGCTTCCTGCCTGGCTCCCTATCTTAATGGCTTTGCTTAGCACCTCACTGAGTTAGAAGATTAATCTTACAGGGAATTTTGACTCCCAAGGATACGGCTATCACACATTGGATTTCCAACAACTAAATCTTAAATTATGTTATATTTCTAGTGTTTTGATTAACAATGGGTTAACTCTATCAGTACCCAAGGGAATTCAGTTAGAACTTGGTGGTCTCCAGTACACGTGGTCTCTGCTTCTAAAAGCCACAGAGCCACAGAACTGGAGGACCGACCGTACAGCCACCTAACATTTTCTTTCTGATCCCAAGTGAATGCTGCTGGCAGAAGAAGGGGAGTGTAATGGTTTTTCAAGTTCTCTGTGGAACCAGACTGCTTAGGTTCAAACCCTACTGCATCCATTTACTAACCACATGACTCTGGTTATAACCACGTAACATGTTTCCTGTGCCTCTGGACATCATCATTCAGAAGGAGGCGGTTGGTACCCATGTCCTGTGCTGCAATGAGGAATCAATACAAGAGCTAATACAAGAGCAGGCATCAGGACTGGGTCTGACCTTCACCTCAGCATCCTGGCATTGATGATTAATAATAAAAGCATGTTCTCTAGTATCCAAATAACTGTTCTGTTTGGTTTCTAGGGTAGATCTGTGGAATTCAGGTTATCTTGTGAAGCACTGCCCTCACACATTGATATGGAACACTTGGGGGGATCTTGTACATTGCACTCTTACTCAGGAGGTCTGGGGTGGGGCTGAGGAGGCCTGGTGGCACAGCACTTAATTGCTCAGCTGCTAACCAGAAGATCCGTGGTTCAACACACCAAACGGCTCCTCGAGAGGAAATTGGTATGGCAGCTCATTCCCATAAAAGATTGACAGCCTTGGGAACCCCACCTGGGCAACTCCCCTCTGTCCTGCAGGGTTGCTGGGAGCCTGCATCAGCTCTGAATTTGGGGCTGCATGTCTAACAAGATCCCAGGCGATGCTGCTGTTGACACCTGTGGAGTAGCAAGGTGTGCGGGATGCTCCAGGGAGCCAACAGCTCACGAAAGAACCCCAGGGGAAAATAGGAGAGGTGGCATGATTTGAAAGATGAGATATGCTCCCTGCTGGGGTCATTGCCCGGGTGGAAGAGGGCAGGTTTGCATGATGCTGCACCAATATGTCTCTTTGCTGCTGATCTGATAAAGAACCAGACACTGAACTGGCGTGGATCCTTAACTAATCGATGAAAACCAGGCAGCATGCATGCCAGTGTAGTTTGCAGCTGACGCCTGCCAAAGGCTGGGGGACACACTCCCCGGTGTGCGAGTATAGTCATGAAATGAATTAGGACTGTGATGTGAGAGGGCTACTTTGCCTTCCCTCGGTATTTCTGTGCTGTGTGTGGGCGCTGCTGGAGCCTCTGTAGGACTTGACTTTCGTCATCGGAAGTCCCTTTGCTTCTCAGGCTGAGGTTTGGTGTGCTTTGCGACTTTCAAAAGTCCACCGATCTCGTTTGCTGCGTATTTTGATCGGAAGCCCGGCACTCACGGTGGCGTCTCTGCTTCCGAGGCCTGTGGCTGTCGACTTTGCTGACACTTCGCTCCACACAGTGCGTGTCTGCGTCCGACAGAACTCTCCTTGAAAGAAAAACCCGGGTCTGCCAGGAAAGCTCATGAAGGGTGCCAAGTGCTAAGTAAGACGATGGAGAAGCCCACCCTGAGCTCTGTCTCAGGAGCAGCTGTATGGACATGATGTAAATAGCCTCTTCATCCCAACACCTTCACCCCTTGCTTGTCATCCGTGGGCAGACTTGCTGCAGTAATTATGACGCTGGTATTCTGATGGTGATTTTCTCGCCTTCATTCTGTCTACATTGACAAGTTGTAACAAGCCCTGGTGGTAGAGTGGTGATGCGCTGGGTTGTGATCTGCAAGGTCAGCGGTTCAAAACCACCAGCTGCTCCACAGGGAAAGAGAGGGCTTTCTCCTCCTGTAAACAGTCAGGGTCTCAGAAGCTCGCAGGACCAGTTCCTCCCTGCCCTAGGGGGTCCTAGGATACAGCAGCCACTCGGCAGGGAGTTCGGTGTGAGAACTCTTCTGTTAAGAAGAGTCATTCTTCCTTCGATATTTGTACCATTAAAAAAACAGTGCTTTGGAGCCAGGGGTAGGTAAAATATTCGCTTAAAATGTGTCCCAAATAAAAGGAGCTACACCAGGAGGGTCCCTCCCACACCAGGCCAAACGCCAGCCCAGGGCCCACCTGAGGGTCCTCTGAACGCTCCCCTCCAGCTCCCAAGAGAGCGCCCCCTAGAGTCCTGCCGCTGCGGCCCCTCTGTGTTTGAGACCCAAGGGCTGCAAGTGGGCCGAGCAGAACACCAACACAGGCCTGGCCTGGGTCTCTGTGCAGTGCCCAGATGATTCAGCTGCCACGGGAAAGGTTGGAGGATCCAGTCCGCCCACAGGATCCTGGGAGGAAATACCTGGAGATGTACTTCTGAAAACCCAGCCCTCGCAGACCCTGTGGGGCACAGTTCCACTGACACCTTGACTTAGGGGCAAATGGAGGACGGTGGGTAAAGCTTGGTGGTTGATGTAGAAGAAGAAGAAATGGGGAGGGGGTGTGTGGCTGTCTCTAGCCCCTTAGTCCTGGGTGACCTTTCCTTTCTCCCTGGGATAGAAAGAACCCAAACTTTTTTTTTTAATGACTTTATCAGGGGCTCATACAACTCTTATCACAAGCCATACATACATCAATTGTGTAAAGCACATTTGTACATTCATTGCCCTCATCATTCTCATAACATGTGCTCTCCACTTAAGCCCCTGGCATCAGTTCCTCATTTTCCCCCCTCCCTCCCTGCTCGCCCCCTCCCTCATGAACCCTTGAGAATTTATCAATTATTATTTTGTCATATCTAAGGACTGCACCAAGATAGACCTTCTAGAGAATGCCCAAGAAAGTCTTTTCCTAAAGCAAGAGATGCTATCTGAGGCCTGAGAGCTTCCTCGGCCCAGCCTCTCTCTCTCTCTCTCTCTCTCTCCACCAAATCAGAACGCCTGGCCGATCTTTAGCGCGTCCCCAAGACGCCAACAGCCCTGCCCAGCAACTGTTGTCATTTCGCTCTTAGATCGAATGAACAGAAAACACAGTAATGTTTTCTATCACTAACCATGCTCTGATTTCTGCTGGTTCTCAGCTGGAAGACTTTTGCTGCTGTTGAATTTTCCTAGCTTGCTGTGCATTCAGTACCCTCCCCAACAATTTAACAAGACTGGGTGCAGTGTGGCTGTGAAAGCCGCGCAGGCGTTTGAAGGAACCCGGCCACGCTGGTACAGGAGAGGAGAAAACGACTTACCTCCCTGAGGATCAGCCTTGGGAACGCTCAGCCTGCCAGAGTTGGCTGACCCTCAGTCACCCCCAATTCTCCACCCCCCCCCAAAAGAAGTCTCTAGTAATA